CTTCGGCTCAGGTCATGATCCCAGGGTCCTGGGATCGAGTCCCGCATCGGGCTCCCTGCTCAGCGGGAAGCCTGCTTCTCCCTCTCCCATTCCCCCTGCTTGTGTTGCCTCTCTCGCTGTCTCTCTCTCTGTCAAATAAATAAAAAATAAATCCTTTAAAAAAAAGAACCATTGAGATAAGCTTCTCAGATACACAGATATCTATCACTTATCCATGTGAGGATAACCTGTCCTTTGCTTTGATTTTAGAGTGAGCTAGCTTCTCTGGTCTGTACTAAGGAGCTCAGCCCCCCTTTCTCATGTCAGACCTCATACATTCATTTTCCTCTCCACACCACAAACCTTATCCTGCTGATAGGTCCCTTTTCTTTTCTCTTGGACACAGGAGTCATTGTCATTTTTTCCCTCTCTGTTCTAATTTCCACATATTTTCCTTCCCTTTTGACTGGTAAATGCCTCAGATTACTATTGTATACCCACAGTCATTTCCTCTACTCTCTCCTTGATTTCTTTTATGATAATTTACTCTTTCTGTTCCCATAACCAAAGGAATAACTTTGGTGTCATCATTCCCTGCCTCCTAGTGCAGTTTTTTATTGCCTTGTCTTAGAGTTGAGTGTGCGTGCAAATGAAACCCTTTGCCTGGGACAGATTATTATATCATTGCTTCTAACAACCTATTTAGTCAATGTGGATTTTTTTCTTCTCCTTATCTATTATTGGTTTTTTACCTCAGTTTTCATGAACACACTTTTTTTTAATTTTAATTCCCAAACATGTACCGGTGTGTATGATTATTTCTACAGTTCTCGTTCATCTGGTTCACAGTTATTGAAGAATTCACAAAGTGTGTTTGATTGTTCTCTTTTCTAGAATACTGGAGAGTTGATGATTACAAAGCGTGGCACCAAGAAATTCAAGACAGGATTAAAAAATTGGAACAAGTCCATGAAACGAATGTAAGTGGAAAAATATTTCAGTCTGGCATGAACCTTGCACCTTTAAAGCAAAAGCCCAATAAGCGTGTCTCAAATGGAAAACATTTGAAATACTCATTAGATTTATTTACTCAGACTGGAAACTGTGGAAGAAAGCAAGCTGGTAAGGGCAATGGATATGAGAAATCCTTTCTCCATACTGAACATGAAAAAACTCATGTTGGATTAAAATACTATGAATGTAGTGAATGTGGAAAAGTCATCAGCAAGAAGTCACGACTCATTGTCCATCAGAGAACACACACAGGAGAGAAACCATTCAAATGCAGTGGATGTGGCAAAGCCTTTTCCCAGAAGTCACACCTTGTTACACATCAGACAGTTCACACGGGAGAAAAACTTTATGGATGTGAGTGTGGGAAGGCCTTCTCTAGAAAGTCACACCTCATCACACATCAGAGAACTCACACGGGAGAGAAACCGTATGAATGCAGCGACTGTGGGAAAGTGTTCTCTCAGACATCACAGCTTATCATTCATCAGCGAAGTCACACGGGAGAGAAACCCTATGCCTGTGGTGAATGTGGGAAAGCCTTCAGTGGGAAATCACAACTTATTACTCATAAGAGAACCCATATAGATGAAAAGCCCAACAAATGCAGTGAATGTGGCAAAGCCTTCAGAGAGAAGTCAAGTCTCAATAAGCATCAGAGAATTCATTCAGGAGAGAAACCCTATGGATGCAGTGAGTGTGGGAAAGCCTTCAGTGGGAAGTCATTGCTCATTAGACATCAGAAAACTCATTCAGGAGAAAAGCCCTATGGATGCAATGAGTGTACAAAAGCATTTATTTGGAAGTCACAGCTCATCATACACCAGCGGACTCACACAGGAGAGAAGCCCTATGGGTGTGGCGAATGCGGGAAGGCCTTCTCCCAGAAGTCACACCTCATCATACATCAGAGAACTCATAGAACAGAAACCCTAGAAACAGAGTGAATGTGAGAAACTTTGAAGAAAATAATCGCACTTCTCTCTACATCCTAAAACGCATTTATAGAAATTCCCTGATGGCTGTGAGTATAGGAAAGTCACTGGCAGGAAGTTCTACTTCCTAAAACATCAGAATGCCAAATGGGAGAGTGGGCCTATGTGTGCAGTGAACGCGGCAAAGACTGTAGAAAAAAGCACTCAGCAAATAATCTAGTCTCGTTGTAAATCAAATTATTCATATTGAGGACAAAAATAATGATTTAAAAGAATATAGAAAAACTTTGTCCATAGAAACGTTAAAAAAAATCAATTTCCAACTCTGGTATTGCATCTTTTAAAGAAAAGATTATTCAGTTTTAAATAATAAGCATATGAAACCTTAAAGATATGTATCTGTACGTATATATATATATATATATGTTCGTAATGATGACAGCCAAGTAAAAAGCCTGTTGCTTCAGAGGAATATAGGGCTTATATTCCTGAGTATGCCTACATGTTATAAATTTATATATTTTCATAGCACATGTGAAATTAATCTGTGAACATGGTGTATGTCATGTTTATGACGCAGCGTCTGTCAAGAGTGCTACACGGTGGATACATTTGTTTGTACCATAATGGTAGAAGATAAGCTGCACCAAGTGATGTATTTATTATTTAACAAACAGTTTAAGATATATTGCCAGATATTTTTGGCACACGTAAATGAGTTTGAGAGCTCTTACCTGCTCTGCCTTCAGTAGTAGAAGCTGGACTTTCTCAGTAAAGTTGTCTGCCTCCTCTGCGTCACCAGTTTATATACAGAACTGTTGTTCATATTAGACATGCAAAGGCAAGAATACACGTTAACATATAACTGAGTGAGCAACAGAAAAGCCCTGAATTGCATCACTCATCATCTAAATATATGAGAAATGGGGTTCGAGAAAATAAAAGACCCACAAAGCATATCCTCCTGTTATTTTCTCAGTGGGATTTCTGTACAGATTAGTTGTACATGGGTTGAATATAATAGAGCCAAGAAACTGTATTTTAGGTTAATATGTTAAGACATCATGTAATACTGTTCTCTGTATCAATCTTTTAATGTTTTCCTAAAGTACTTTGCAAATAATTAGAAGAAACTCTATTTAAAAAAAAAAACACAACAAAAAACAAAACATGTAGTTCTGTAAGGTTACATGCAGAGACTTTTTGCTAGGAGAATTAGGATTTTTGATAATTTGATTCAGACATCTTGTACAGATGAGGCTTTAGAAATCAAGTTACTTTATTGTTTGTAAAAGAAATCTTTAATGTACAAGAGACCTTGCAATGCACAAGGTATTATGTTGCTTTTAAATGTGCCAACTTTAAGTTTAATTTTTAAATAACGTGTCTTGAAAATGCCAAAACCCTTTCTTGAATGTTGGTGAAATTCAGAGGTTTGCATCACACCCAAATGTGTGATTTTCTTTTGTTGCCAACACAAGAAACTTGTCTTTGTTGAAACCATCTATTATGCATGTTACCTGTACCTCCATTTAGAATTTTTTAGTACTTCCTCTCCTTGATAATGCCTGGCAATGTCAGATTTCTTTCCTGGATGGTTATAACATTCAGACTTACAGAAAAATGACTGTTTTCATCAGAGAAAGGGAGATTTGTGGACAGTAGTCTTTATATTGCATATCCAATGGCAAATGTTATTTGTATACGGGGTTGTATCAAAATTAAAGTTAGGACCTAGGTTAGCAAAGTATTGCTTTGGGGGGATGACCTTGACCCCCAATTTCTTATGCAACCCGTACGGGGAGGTCTTCATTATTCCGAAGTGTCCTGTGAGAGCTTGTCTGACTTACCAATCAGGGTCCACGCTTGAGCACAACAGCTACTCTAAGTGAAGCTGAGCGAATTGCAGTTGATTAAAGAGGTAGTAGGAGAGCTGAGAAGCCAGAGGGGGTGGAGCTGTAAGTATTCATATGCAGTTTCTGCTCCCCATCCTTGCAACCTTGACTGCCTCTGTGTCCGAGGGCTTAATCCTCAAGGGAAGAAGGCTCCTATCAAACGTTACAACAGTTCCTTGATGCTGTTTTGAGCATCTTGTGCCGGTGAATCAACCATCAGAGAAGAAGGTTACTATTACTACTGGGGTTTTAAATCCACAGAACTAAGGAATTGCTGGCACACATTTGGGGCCAGGTGGACTCTGTATGGAGCCTCTTAGTATTTCCATTATGATTGTGAGTTCCGGTGGGAGACTAAAGCACCCTAATAAGGATAGGACTACTAGAAATTCAGTCTTCAGTAACGAAGATTGGGTTTCCCCACAAGCAAAGAACCTTGACCCACCAATACCTTGCTAATGGCAGGCATAATACGAAACACATGGCAGAAAAAAAGTTATTTAAAAAAAAGTTTTATGGTGAGTGCAGAGGTGAATATACCTGCTATGTATATTTTTGTTGTGTTTCAACAAATTTTCTTTCCCTATTTTTTTTTAAAGATTTTATTTATTTATTTGACAGAGAGACAGTGAGAGAGGGAACACAAGCAGGGGGAGTGGGAGAGGGAGAAGCAGACTCCCCGCTGAGCAGGGAGCCTGATGCAGGGCTTGATCCCAGGACCCTGGGATCATGACCTGAGTCAAACGCAGACGCTTAACGACTGAGCCACCCAGGTGCCCCTCCTTCCCTATTTTTTGTTTTGAATTGGAACATTGGTGAGGATTGGTTTTATAATTTAGTTCACAGATCATGAGATCAAGAAAAGTCACATTGGAGGTGCCTGGGTGGTTCAGTCGGTTAAGCCTCTCCCTTCGACTCAGGTCATGATCTCAGGGTCCCGATGGAGTCCCATGTCAGGCTCCCTGCTGTGCAGGGAGCCTGCTTCTGCTTCTCCCTCTCCCCCTTCCCGTTGCTCGAGGGCTCTCTCTCTTTCTCAAATAAATAAATAAATAAATAACTTAAAAGTCCAGAAGGATATAAAGTTTTGGGGAAATCTTACAAACAAACCTGACCTAATGGACATTATAAGCCTCTACACATAAAATCTGCAGAATGCACATTTTTTTCTTTTTTTTTTTAAAGATTTTATTTATTTATTTGACAGAGAGAGACACAGCGAGAGAGGGAACACAAGCAAGAGGAGTAGGAGAGGGAGAAGCAGGCCTCTCGCTGAGCAGGGAGCCCGATGCGGGGCTCGATCCCAGGACCCTGGGACCATGACCTGAGCTGAAGGCAGACGCTTAACGACTGAGCCACCTGGGCGCCCCTTCTTTTTTTTTTTAATGTTTTATTTATTTATTCATGAGAGTCAGAAAGAGAGAGAGAGGGGCAGAGGCAGAGGGAGAAGCAGGCTCCCCGCTGAGCAGGGAGCCCGACGCAGGGCTCCATCCCAGGACCCTGGGATCACAACCTGAGCCGAAGGCAGACGCCCAACCATCTGAACCACCCAGGCGCCCCTGCATATTTTTTTTCAAGTGTCCGTAAAACGTTCACAAATACCGACCATGTGTAATGCCATAAATCAGGTCTCCATAGGTGAAAATCCTAGGATATGTTCTCAATAATAATAGATATAAAAATAATAAGTCTGAAAAATGCTCAAATATTTGAAAATTAGGCTATATGCTTATAAATAACACAAAATGAATAAATCAAAGGGGAATAAGAAGGTAGTTTGGACTAAAGGATAAGAAAAAAACATTACAGTTCAAGAGAGGCGCTGAAGCTGTGTGAAAGGGAAACATAGCTCTTCAATGCTTATATGAGGAAAGAAGGAAAGTCTGATATGAATGATTTAAGCCTCTACCTTATAGAACTTCAGAAAGAGCAAATTAAATCCAAAGTAGAAGGTAGGAAATAATAAAGACAAAAGTGGAAATTAATAAAATAGGAAACAAAAATAGAGAAAATTAACAAAAATATAATCAGTTCTTTGAAATTATAAAGTGGATAAACCCCAGCTAGAGCGATCAAGAAAATAGAAACTCAAATTACGCGTGGCAGGGATGATAGAGTTTTCCTTACAGATCTTGAAGATATTAAAAGGTAAATAGAGGGTGCCTGGGTGGCTCAGTTGGTTAAGCGTCTGCCTTCGGCTCAGGTCATGATCCCAGGGTCTTGGGATTGAGCCCGCATCAGGCTCCCTGCTGGGTGGGGAATCTGCTTCTCCCTCTATCCCTCCCCCCACTCATGTCTCTCACTCACTCACTCAAAAATAAATACGATAAAATCTTAAAAAAACGAAAACAAAAAAATAGAATAGTGTGAATTACTTAAAATTGGAAAACAAGGATTTAATATTGAAAAAATTCTTCATAAATATGGGGTGTATAATACTTTTATTTTTGTGGAAATAAAAGGATATTAATATGTAACTTGAAAGCATCCATCCTTTTTCAAATGTTCATTAATTTATTTAATCAGAAAAATTTGAATATTATAGACTAATATGGCCTATCATAACAGAATTTCCTGTGATTTCAAGATGTGCTCAGAGCATTCAACAAAGAGTAATCTCATTCAGGATGGCTGATTTCAAGAGGCTGTGAATGTCTTGTACTCCACTTTTTTCTAAATTCTCTCTACTTCTATGTGATTTGAGTGTGAACCCTTATAGTTACTTTAGTTTCTATACATGTACATGCAGTCTAGTGATTATAAAATATGACGATCAAATTAAAATGTGAAATTCACTGAATAGCTCTGAAATATTTTCATGTGCTTATTTATAAACAGCACAACTGTCTAATCTCTGTTCCCAAAAGACACGGAGATTAAAACAATTACCAAACAAGGTGAAGGATTGGGGTACCTGGGTGGCTCAGTTGGTTGGGTGACTGCCTTCGGCTCAGGTCATGATCCTGGAGTCCTGGGATCAAGTCCTGCATGGGGCTCCCTGCTCAGCAGGGAGTCTGCTTCTCCCTCTGACCCTCCCCCCTCTCATGTGCTCGCTCGCTCTCTCTCATTCTCTCTCTCAAATGAATAAATAAAATCTTTTAAAAAAAAGTATTTCCTTTAAAAAAAAAGTGAAGGA